AGAGCCACTGATAACTGTTGATGGCAGTTGGTGATTAATTTTCTCTCTAATAGTAATAATTTTATTATAAAAGAAGCTCATAAAGTCATTGCTAATATGGGAAGAGGGTGCCACTAACGCAGTTAGCGGTTAGATGCCTTGCTCAAGGGTACCTTGGCAGCGCACAGGAGGTGGAACTGGCACCTCTGCAGCTACCAGTCCACACTCCATACTGTGGTCCGTGCTGGACTTAAACCGGCAACCCAAGCCAGTCACAGGGGATTCCAAAGGGGCCAGTTTTCACATTGAGACAAAGAAACTTTTTAAACTACTCCTGCAGCATAGTAATAATCCATGCTCAGTCAGTCAAAATATGGTTGACTAGTTGTCCAATTCTGCCTCAATGTTTGTTTTTAAAAATACAATTTTACATTGTTTTGTAAGATTATAAATAAGAAGAAGAAGAAGAAGAAGAAGAAGAAGAAGAAAAATAATAAGAAGAAGAATAAAAAGAAGAACACATTGTGATATATGCTCAGCTGATTGCTGATCTGTCCAAATCCTCTGGAAAACATTATATCTAAAGTTAGTGTATTGATATTGTTTTTACATAATCATTTATTGTATAACAAGTCATGTAAGCGACCTATCGCAACTCAATAAGGCCAGAAATTTAATGTGAAGCTTTACTGCTGAGTCTAATTAGCACATACAAAACTCACTTCACAGTCATATGAAACTAATTAAGGGAAGCAAATGGAAATCTTGAGGGAGAGGGGGTGAAGGCAGAGTATAGAAGCTTTGGTACACGGTGAGAAATGAATGGAGAAGTTCATAGTCTCACCAAGTGTGAGCCTCTTGTGATGTCACCCATTGGTTTGTGGAGTAACGGTTTTAAGCCTTGAGTTTGGCATAATGGTCGTCACCATGACGGTTTGTCGGAGCCAGCAGAGGTGACGTACTGCAAGTTGAGCTGCTCTCATTGGCTGCACAGTTTCGATTCATCTGTAGCAGTAAACAATGGCTACTCGCCTGGTCACACACAATCTCGTATTACAGATAAAAACTAAAATATGTTTGTGATATGATTTTAGGTCAGAAATAGGCAATGCAGTAACAGAGTCAAGTAGGAAGAAGACTAATTTCTCCATAAGACTGTATGCCACCAGTGCAACCAGTGGCACTCCCCTGCTGGTCATTACATAGAATGCAGGTTTAAGACACTTCAGCATTCAGTTGTGGAAGCTCTGTCCATTATATATACTGTCAATGGTTTCAACTCATCCGTAACAGGAAACAATGACGACTCAGCTGGTTACACACGTCCTCATATTACAGATGAACAGTCAGTCCTTCTATAATTTTTTGGGATTATTGCGGGCTAAAATTGCTTTTCTAAAAAGTTGTAATGCACTTTATGATGTTTACGGCATTTTTTGCAAAGAAATTGTGGGAGAAGGGGAAAATTGCCACCTTCTTAGCATAATTAATTTACAAATCAATACAAAAGTTAAGTTCTTCCGGTGAGTATAAAATCACAAGTAGTTTGGCACAACGGACTGGTGAAACACGTGGGAACTTAATGATTAGTCAAATTAGCGTAAATGTGACTTGCAAAACTGCACAGAGAATTCACTTATTGGTTGAATTTGCATTATGTTGCTTCCTGGAGGCATTGAACAGCACACTAAAATATGTGTCTGAAATAATTTTAGGTAAGAAATAGGCAATGCAGTAACAGACCCTGCACAACACTTCTCAGGCCCGTCAGCTCAGTCCACTATACTGTCAATGTGTCTGACCTACAGCCCCATCTCCTCTTCTTGTATTTTTCCTCTCACATCGCCACATGATTGCGACTGATTGAATCATCCGTCTCTACTTTTTCCAACTTGTGAAAACACGTCAAAGTGCGGCTCTGATTAATAACCACATAGTGACTGTATTACACTGTGATCCGGCAATCAGTCACTGTGGCCCATCACTGGATGACATCATCAACAATTTCCTCATCAAATATTCACTGTGCGATACAGAGATGCTGCTCTTCCTCCCTGAGGCACAGGGGATTCAAAATCAGCAAAAACCTCGTCAAATTGTGTGAAAGAGGATGCAAAAATTAAAGTTCCTTTGTAGCTTCTTTTCTTGGATGAACAGGCCAACATCTGCAGCCACTGTGGCAAAAAAAAGTCTTAAAAGTAGTTGACAGCAGCACTTTAAACCATAGGAAAATATACACATAGAAATCAATGCACAGTCATAACAGATCCATACAGTAATGTGAACATAGTAAAAGTAAGGTATCAAATCAAAAGATTGTTAATTCTCACAAATACGTAGGGGCTAATGATTGCTCTCTTTCTTTCTTTCTGTCTCATTCTCTGTCTCACACACACAGTCAGCAGTCAGATGAAGCAGTGCTGCAGACCCTAAAGCCATGTTATAAGTCAAGACAGGGTAGAGGGTGCATGTAGCTCTAATCCTCCAATTAATTCTCATTCCCCACAAGAGGAGGACCCCAGAGAGCTTCTTGACACTTCTATTAAAAAGTAAAAATGAAACACAGCATGAAGGTGAAGCAAGAGAGATCTCTTTCTTCTGCCCATCTCCACGGAGAGCAAAGTTTTACAACATTTTTTGTCAAATAGTCAAATTCTCTTTTCTTCTTTTCTTTCTTCCTCTTCTCATGTGGAGTAAAGAGTTAGAGGGTGAGCTGCTGCCGAGAACACGCTTGTACAGTAGCAGGAGAATAACAAAGGAAGTTCAATCCAGTTTTGTGTTATTATGACAATTGCTACAAATAGAGATTGGTTCAGAAAACACAGAGCAAATGACACAATAAGTGGTTGGGAAATGCACCCAGTAACCACATTTCAAGCCTCAGCCCTTCCCCAGTAATCAGATTGAAGCAGGAAATCATATCAACTGCGTGATAACTGTAAACCCCGCTTCACATGTCATAAAACAAAAGTGACCCGTTTGCATATCTGAATAAACTCACACAACTTCATTGTTGTTAATGCTTTAAATGTCCGTTGTTGACAAGGTGGACAAATCCAGATCTACAGATGTGTGGTAGGTGACAAATCAAAAGACAATTCAGCGTCACTCACAAATACTCACTGAGTGGATAGTTGCACATAATGAGCAGCATAATGCAGCATAATTACAGGCACGACCCTGAATGACATCTCATACCTGTACAAGGTGAGGTCTCTAAAGAAGGAGCAGTCAGTCCCAGCTGTTTAGTTTAGTTTAAAGAGTTTCCGTTTGGCCATAGATTCACTCACAAGATGCAGGACCAACAGACTGAAATATTAATTTGTTCCTTCGGCAGCTGGCCTTTTAAATAACTTTATGTGAT